TTAAGAGAATACTACTATACATACATACACATATACATATATGTATGTGTTACACAAATACATACACATACACAAATATACTTGTACTAGAGGCCCATTGCATGAAGAGATTTGTGCAATAGGCCTTCCATTCCTTGGCTTCTAGCACTGGTTTTCCTCCAGCATCCATGACCCAGGCTTTTACTCTGGCCGGAGCCTACCATCTTTGTCTTTGCTGCAGACTCCAGCCAGAGTCTGCTGTCTTTCTCTTCGCTGCGGGCTTGAGTGCCATTCCTGTAGATCCCCTCACTTCCCGCCCTCCCTCTCATAGCAGGCATCACCCAGCCACTCTGAGCCTGGAGCAGCTGGGTGGCCACCATCTTTGTCCTCCTAATTTGCATATTCCCTCCTGATTGGCTGGTGTGGTCAATTTACATGTTTGTCTATCATTAGGTAAGATATGATGATGTTGGTAATTTTATCTATGTCTACATCTCCAAAGCAAGATTTTTAGTGGTGATTCAGGCTGTATGTGCTCTCATGCCTGTCTGCTTTTGTCAGTGGGAATCAGGTGGATGCTAGGCCTGGGCACCCTTGAGCAGGGTTTTGCAAAATATTTCTGTAAAGAGCTAAACAGTAAATATTTTTGGCTTTGTGGGTCGTATGTTCTCTTGCTGCAACTACTAAGCTCTACTGTTATAGCAGGAAAGCAGCTATAAACAATACATAAATGAGTGGGTGTGCAGTATTCCAATTAAATTTTATTTACAAAAAGGGCAGTGGGCCATATTTGGTCCATGAGTTATAGTTTGCCGAGCCCTGCTCCAAGTCTACTTCATGATGAAATGCCATGATCACATCAATGTCCTACAAACGAAGGCTCCCGCTGTACTTAGGGAACTCCCAGAGGCTGTCTGGGTGGAGCAGAGTGAACCTGATGGCAACTCTTGGAACTCCAGGAGGAGTCAAGAGAAAATAAGATGAAATTCTCTGGCACTCAACTCTTCTCTTATCCCAGTCTGACTGCAAAGAGAAGCTAAACAATATTGGTGTTGGCCAGGGAGCTTTTCATAAAGAAAGTTATAGTGCTGGTATTGCTTTGACTTTTTGAATCATCCTTGTCTTCCCACAGTCTGGTGGAACTGGTAAAATAACCAAAGTATGATTGGATTTTTAGATTATTATATGTTAGATAGAGAAGTGTGTGAGTTTTAAAGAAAAAAAATTAAGTTAGATTTAGTTTTCATTTTAGTAGTTAATTTAATAATTTTACAAAAAGACATGATGATGATTAGACAAATAGTTTTTCTAGTCATGATAACTTCTCTTTTAATCATCTTTTATCTTAATTTCATCAAGGGAAATACAGGTTGGCTGAATTTAAATTGGCACCCACTGACGTGAATTGACTGCTCTAGAATCTGGGACCCACAGAATAGATGGGTTCTCACTAACTCTGTCCTAAGCATTGAGGTTAAATGGATTCACTTTGCATACAGAATACCTTGACAGAAATCATGGTGAATCTTAGTTTGCTTCCAGTTTGAACCAGGACTTTATTTTGTAGTTTTGTGTGTTTTTTTCCCCCTGAAGCTTCTAATTGTCTTTCTGTATTTGTCTTAATAAAAAGATAATGTGCCTTAATCTTACAATTCAGCTACTCCAGCTTCCTTTTTTTTTTTCTCACTTGAAAATGTTTATTTTCAGAATGACCTTTATCCAGATAAAGGTCTTGTCAGCACTTCTCATAGGCTATGACACAATTTTGCAGCAAACCTGTTTCCTTACCAAAATTGAAGTCAACAGAAAAAGAAGTGCCAAATGGGTAATGAAACTCCACTTAATTACTCCTTATTCTAAATATACTACTGATTCAGGAGTATTCTAAATTACTCCTGATTCCAAATATACCAAATTTTAAAAAGTAATTTCTCTATATATAGAGAAAAAAATATTTTAAATCAATTGGTCCTTCGGCTGCAATAAGATTCAGCAAAGCCTTACCACTTCAAGCAAGTCTGTTACACCTATCTATACTCAAGAAGTGCTTTTTAAGTGCTGGTCTCTTCTATGTATTTTCTTAGGACCCACACATCATTCCAGTTTCCATTTTAAGTAAAATTTTATATTTCTTTTTCTCAATATGAAATACATTCCCAAGGGTCAAACATAAGGAATCCTAAAACAATCTCCTTCTCACTTTATTCCTATATTTGCTCAGTTCCCACAATTGGTAACCACTATTATTAGTTTCTTAGTAATTCTTTCATTAAACTTTTATGCAACTGAAAGCCAATGCACACAATTATTTTTTTCCTTTTCCTCTTTCACACCAGGGGCAAAAAATATTTTTCTGCATCTTGCTCTTCACTTAACAATATACCTTGGTGATCTTTTTGTGTAACCCATAACGAGCTTTTCCATGTGTTTCTATAGTGGCAGTTTCCATTACTATACCTGTATTAATGACCATAATATATTTTACCCTTATGTTATTGACATTCTTATCTTTGGCTTATGCCAACGTTGCAACAAATAATCCTGTCCATCCTGCACATCACAGTCATTATGCATGCGCCTAGCTATAGGATGAATTCCTAGAGAAAATTCCTGGGTCAAAGATTATATCCATTTGAGTTCTGAAAATGATTGGCAGTATGTTCTCTATACAGGTTGTAGCAGTTAGAACTCCTAATATAAATGTGAAAATACATGTTCCCTTAAAGCAGTAACATCACACCATTCCAGAGTCCTTTGTATTTTTGCTAGTCTGATAAGTGAGAAATAATAGCTAAGTATAGCTTTAATGTACATTGCTTTTATTATAAATGAAGTTAAGCATCTTTTCATGTTTTATGAGTTGTTTATAAATTTTTAATTTTTCATATTCTTTTTATTTTTCTTATTGGAGTTTAGTTTTTCTTGTCTGTGTCTAGGACCTTTTATAATGTGAGAAGGTTAGCCTTCTGCTTTCCTATGAATTGCAAACATTTTCCTGATTTGTCATTTATCTTTTGCTATTCTGATTATTTAATAAGTTAAATTTTACTTTGGGTATAGTAGTTCTTTTTTTTTTGTCTTGCAGTAGGTCTCTGTTTTGTGTTTTTACTGCAGTTACATTTAACAATCTTTACTTGTGGCTTTTCAAGTTTGTGTTTCAATTAGAAAGATCTTTCTCATTCCAAGGTTATAAAGAAAAATGCCCTCTATTTGGTTCGCTATTTGGTGATTATTGTACTTTACATTTCAAGATTTGGTCCTTTGGGGATTTATCTTAGTTTATAATATGAGATATGGATCTAACTACAGTCTCTCTCATTATCTACAGATTCTGTATTTGCAGTTCACCCACTTGCTAAATTTATCTGTAATCCCAAATCAATACTTGCAGAGTCTTTGCTGTCACTTGCAGACATGTAGGAGTGATGAAAATTTAAGTTGCCTGACACATGCCTGTTCCTAGCTGGGGTTGAGCAGGTGATGTTCTGCCTTCTTGCTTCGGCTATCGTACAGTAAACAAGTGTTCTTTCCATGGCTTATTTAGTACCACATTTTTTTTCTTTCATTTCCATGCAGTTTGTTGGTGATTTCACTGTTTAAAATGACCCCGAAGTATGGTGCTAAGATGCTGTCTAATGTTCTCCAGAACAAGAAAGCTATGATGTGTTTTTGGAGAAAATATGTTAGATAAGCTTTGTTCAGGTGTGGGTTACAGTGCTGTCAGCCATGAATCAACCATGTATGTTAAGGTGTCTTTACACAGAAACATACATAAAACAAGGTATGTGTTGGTCAGTTGTTGATAATGTGACCAGAGACATACAGAAACCTAACCCTGTATTTCTCCTTTGTAAAAATGACTTAGTCCTCACCAAGTCAATGTTTGCAGCATCTTTATAGAATTCAACTACTGCTAATGAGAATCAACTGTGTATGGTTTTTTTCCAAGATGCTATTAACTGCCCATTACTGTCTCTGAATAGCTTACCTTTCCCCATTTAGATGTCACCTTTATCATATACTAAAGGCTCATTTCTTATTTTGTTTTATTGGTCAGTCTGTGAATTCATGTACCAAGACCACATGAAACCTTATTTTAAAGAAGTTTTAAAATCTGCTAAGCATAATTTCACTTTTTTAAAGTTTTCCAGGATATGTTTATTTTTGTCCTTCTGCTCCTCCTTTCACATGTGGACCTCCCTATGCTTCTGTGTTAGCCAGGGTTCTGTAGTTGAATGTAATAGAATCTCACTATATTAGCTTTGAAATTAAGGAGGGGACATATGGAGGTAGGAAAGAGATGGAAATGCAGGATATGGAACAAGATTGTGTACCTTCTTGTCTTGATGGTGGTTGTGGCTTATTTTATTTTTTAAATATATCTTTCTTGACTTCAGAGAGAAAGGAGAGGGGGGAAAGAGAGATAGGAACATCAATGATGAGAAAGAATCATGGGTTGGCTGCCTCCTGCACACTCCATACTGGGGATGGAGCCTGCAACCCGGGCATGTGACCTGACAGAGTTGAACTGTGACTTCCTGCTTCATAAATCGAAGTTCAACCACTGAGCCACACCAGCTGGGTGATTGTGGATTATTTTTAAAGTGTGTTAACCTAGACGCACAGAAACAATGAATAGGGCTTGCTTAAGGCAAAGATAAACTTTTACTAAAAAGTTACATATCTAGGGAGTGAGTATCTACTCTGATCTGCCCGCTTAGGAATTTATAATCAGATCACCCTATGAGTTGCTTTCCATATAATCCTCTTTTTCATCCATGCAAAAGAGATGGGTGTTGCAAAATCCAAGGATGTGACTAGTCCTGAGCACAGATGCCCTTAGGAGCCTGAGTCAGGGTCCTTCAGAGACAGTCTGGCCCTATGTGGTCTCTCTCTCTCTCTCTCTCTCTCTCTCTCTCTCTCTCTCTCTCTCTCTCTGTCTGTGTGTGTGTGTGTGTGTGTGTGTGTGTGTGTGTTTCTGTTCACCTGATCAGTTCATGCCTCTCTTTTTCTCTCTACAGAAATGATTTCAGGCCTCTCGATCAACAGGACAAAAGATGGCTACCCCATTGCTGCCAAATGACATCTCTTCAATTCAAGTGACCAACCACGTCAAGAGACAACAGCATCTAAACTCCTGGAAGGATCTGATTTTTTCAGTTTGGGTCAGTTAGTGGGGGTTAGGGAGCAGGAAATATGCTTGGATAATGCTACTTTTTCGGCCAAAGGAATGCAGTAGGCTCTGGAAGGCAGATTATGGGCTGGGCAGATGACTTCATCACTATAGCTCATTATTGTCATTTCCATTTCATCCTATTCCCTTTATTCTTTTCATTCTGATTCTAAAGTCTTCTAAGGTTTCAATGCCCTTTGGTACCAACAAAGCCAGGGTGCCATTTCCCTCCCTAGAAACAACTGTTTCTTAATCAGTTATTTCTTTCCAGGTAGTCCCTGCCTTGTAAGCTTCTTAGTCTGGTTTGCTGGCCTTGGGAGGGACTGCTAGTTTTGCCTTCAGGAGCGTTAGTTAGATAGGGCCTCACTAATAAAACCAGTGACCTGGTTCATCTCTCAGCCTTTGGGGATGATTATATTTTTGCAAACACGTGGGGAGAAGATAAAACAAAGAGCGATAATTCAACTCCAAAGCTCCCAGTATCTTCCTTCCCTCCATATCCTAGCCCCGTGGTCAGCAAACTGCAGCTCTCGAGCCACATGCTGCTCTTTGTCCCCTTGAGTGTGGCTCTTCCACAAAATACCACGGCCTGGGCGAATCTATTTTGAAGAAGTGATATTAGAAGAAGTTTAAGTTTAAAAAATTTGGCTCTCAAAAGAAATTTAAATCATTGTACCTTTGATATTTGGCTCTGTTGACTAATGAGTTTGCCAACCACTGTCCTAGCCTAATGGTGCTAGGATATAATAGTCTTAACCACCCAAGTTACCACTGTGGATGAATAAATGGTGCAGTAATAAATCATAAATTCCTAACAGGCAGGTCATGGTGAATAGTCACTCCCTAGGCATATAACATTTTAGTAAAAGGCTTATCTTTGTCTTAAGCAAGCCCTGTCTATTGTTTTTGTGCATCTAGGTGATCACACCTCTGAAATCCTTTTCTTCAGAGTCCTCCTTCTAAAATATAACCACTCCCAAGGGAGCAAATAGTTTTAAGTGTCCTTTAGTCGAATCCCACTTTGCTTTCTCCCACCTTCACATAATCTTCTGTAAATTCCATGCTTAATTCCAAATGCATAAAAGAACTGCAAAATGTTTATCACCGGAGCATTTGAGATTCTTCTCCCTGGCGTATGTTGTCAGCTTGGCTCAAACTTATGAAAACTCTACAGATTTGGATGTTTCTTACGTGGACATTGCAGAGAACTCATCCCAAGTGCTCACCAAGCAGAGCAGGAAGTCAGAGCACAGGGTTCCTTCCTCATGTGGGGAACATCTCTCAGTATTACTGGCACAAGAGATATTTGGGGTACACAGACATCTGTGCTCTGACAGCTTTAAGCTGAAGACTTTTTTTTTTTTTTTTTTTTTTTTTTTTTTTTAGTGTGGTAACAAGAAATTTGAATCAGCTTCTCTTTAAGGGAATATCGTGACTATCACGGTTTCTAATTTTAAACAGAAAATCCATTTTCCACCATCATCCTTGATCAGAAGTAGCCTTTTTGAAAAACTGGAGGGAATGCAGGATTCTAGTGAATTCACCTGATCTCCAGAGAGTACATTTTAAACAATACAGGAAGTACTTGAGGAAAATGAAAATGCATTGGTTTTGAGTTCTCTTTCCTGGGGAAGGCCAGAAAAAGCTGCAGATGGGGGAGACGAGAGGAGGAGGGGGTTGGGGGAAATCCCTCGGAAGTCATTTTCTTGAGTATCAGAGAGGAGAAAGGAGTATAAAGACCAGCTGAAGAAGTGGGACTCCTTGATGAAATTCTTGTAATAAACTCCCATCCCGACGGTGCTGCAAGTGGTCCGTGGAATCCAAGGCCTGGGCAGCTGTAGGGAAGAATGGAGAGTGCCAATTCCTGCCTCTGAGCAAGGGCAGAGACTTTGCTGGTCCTCTGCAAAGCATCCTCGGGCCAACAGCGCTCCACACATTTTTCTGAGACTTTGGATCATTTGCAATTTGCCCCACGACTCCCACACATTTGCCTCTTAGTGTCCCAAAGCTCTCGCTGCTGCAACGTTCCCATAGGAATGTGGACGACTGCCAAGCGACCTCATGAACATTCCATTCATCTCCTTGGCTGGGAGGCAGCAAGGAAACCAAAGGGGCTGGTTGTTTAACTGTTTGGGTCCCAAATTCACCCTGAAATGAATGGTCATGCTTGTTGAACTTTTCCAACAATCATGCAGAAAAACAGAAGATAAAAACCAAAGAGAATATGCATTTATTCATATGATCCCATCTGAAAAACAGCTATTTTTAAAGGTAGCCAAATGAAAACCACATTCTCTGATTTTCCTTATTGTGAAATCATCCTCCACCAGAAAGTCATTTTGAAGTAATGAGGCTTTGTGAGGTGTGACTAAGAACAATGTGACTATTTTTTTTTTTTAAAGCAAACACAGCAAAATACAGCCATCCAAATGAAGGTTGTTATCTTCCAAGCAATTCTAAGATGCTCAAACATGTGAAAATCCTTTTAGGGAATTACTGGCTAAGTATTGCTCTCACTGTTTTGCTTTCTGTTGATCATTCACTCTGCATGTATTAGACACCTCCTGGGTGCCAAGCACTCTGCCAGGCCCAGGGTATAGAGTGAGAAGAGAGATGCAATCTCGTTGCATGTTTGATGAAGGAGGCCCCCAGGAGCTGGTGGAAAAAGTTAGCCCAACCTCGGTTTGAATCCCAGTTTAGCCTGTGTGGATTGTGTAACCTCAGGCAACTTTCCTAAACTCTTTGAGTCACAATGTCCTCATGTCTAAAATGAAGGTGGTAAAATTGACTTCATAGGATTGCTTTGAGGAGAAAAGCAGATAAAATGTTTAATAACTAGCCATTGCAGCGACCCATACAGTACAGAGTAATTGCTCAGCAGTTGAGTGTTCCTGTGATTATAATTGCTTGATTTGCTTAGTTAGTTCAACCATCTCTTTTGGGGGATTAGACTCTGAATGCACTTTTGAAAAAAAATCAAACGTTTTATTATGTGTATATGGGTAATACAAAGTACAAAATTCAAAGTGTACAAACATTAGGTGATGGAAATGAAAACTTCTTTCTTCTCTCACTCCTCTGCTGCTTGTTTTTCTCCCTGGAGATAACCAGTATGACCAGGATCTTGTATATTTACAGATTTAATTATATTTCTTGAAGATAGGTTCATAACAATACATTGATTCCTACTACATTTTTAAATGATTATGTGATGTTCCATTGACTGAATGTATCATAATTGATTTAGCCAGTTTCCTATTGGTCAACATTTGTTTCTAATCTTTGGCCATAACAACAATGCAGCAAACACTCTCCTTGTGCTCAGCTTTGACTAAGAATAATTAAACCACAGCAGCTCCAGGCAACATCATTAGAACAAGGCGACTGGTTGGAAGCAGAGAATGATGACCCAATTGGGTACATTCTGGATTGTTTTCTCAAAATACATCTCACTATTCTGTTCCTGGAATATTCATACTATTCCCCAAATGCTACCTACTGGAAAAGTGCAGAGTCCGCATAATAATATTACAAGAACTGCCCTGCTTGGCTCAGTGGTTAAGCCTAAATATGAACCAGGAGGTCATGGTTTGATTCCCAGTTGGGGCATGTGCCCGGGTTGCTGGCTTGATCCTTAGTAGGAGGTGTGTGGGAGAGGTCCAATCAATGATTCTCTCTTATCATTGATGTTTTTCTCTCTCCCTTCCCCTCTGAAATCACTGAAAACATATTTAAAAAAATAATATTACAAGAATGGTAGCATCCACCCAAAAACCTATATAATTTTATTAACTAATAAAGAAAAACAATGGTGACATTCTAGTTCAGACATGATGTCATGCAACCCCTCCAAGATCTATAATAAATGGACACATTTTCCTGTGGTTGGCACCAAAGAGTCAAGGATGCAGAGATTCCAGACAGCCTCTCCAGAAGCAGCTGTTAAGAAGAGTTGCACTCCAATTTGCTGCCTCAGCTTGAAACAGAGAAATGTATTAAAATGTGCCACATTGGTTAACATGGGTTCAATTAGATGAAGCCTGCCAATTTGGAAGCAGGACAAGTGTTCCTTGGTGGCCATCTTTGCGTATGTCCAGGCCCGCACCGGCTGTGTGTGGAATTGAGTCAGAGAGAACCCATACATGAGGTTCTGGCACAATCCAAGCACAACTGAAACCTGGGGATTAGCCTTCCTGGATGAATCCTTATTTCTGAATCACGAGAAAGGCTCACGTGAACCAGGCGGCAGGGGAATGGAAGTCTTTCTAAGAAGTCTCCTCCGTCAGACGTGCACGCGGATCCTGAAATGAGCTCCATGCAAATGAAAACCGGTCCCAAGGACATCTTGAGCCAAAGAAAATTCTTGGTTGGGGTTGAAAAAATGTCAGATAAATAGTTTCTCCTTGCTTCTCAGCGGGCTCCGGCTATCGCTGCGATCCAGATCTGGCCTCCGAGCAGTTCTGGCAGGTTTATCTTGGACCAGCTGCTGTGATGAAATCGCAGTAATTCCAGGTTTCCCTCAAATCTAGACTGAGCCAAAGGCAATCTGGGCTTCTAGCATTCGGCTGACTTCACTGCCTCTCTCCAGTCCTTCCTCAGATTTCAAGCTTCTGATTTTTTTTCTTTTTTTAACTGAGACAGGGGTGGTGGAGGAACCCCTTCCAGTGCAGCCCAGAAATGTGGGAAATGTTTATTTCAGGTTAATCCAGGAAACCTCTGTGAAGCACCAGTGAGTGTTTAGGTAGGCCACCTGGTGTGACACGGACTGACATGGATTATGTATCCTACAATATGCCAGCCTATCCATCAGGCTTCCTACACAAAAGATCTCACTTAATCTACCAACAGCACTATGAGACAGAAACTGTTATTCCTATTTTCCAAAAGAGCATGGTGGGTCTCAGCAAGGTTGAGTCTCTTCCTTGAACTCGCAACTGGTGTTTGAACCTGGCCCTAGCCTGAGTCTCAGGCCTCTGCTTGTTCTCACATAAGTAAGAAGGCTTTAGATAGAGTACAGGAAGAGAGACGATGATAAGAAAAACTGAGTCGAACAAAAGGGAGGAAACTGAGACCCGGATGAGAGAAGGGCAAGATGGGTGAATAGAGTCTGCTCATCCTGAGCCCAACCTCTGAAGCCCTTTCGGACCCTGGGAACCCTGTGGGAGGCTGTAGATAAAAGGGGGGTTCTATAGGAGGTAAGCTCACAGGGTGGCCTGATCATAAATTCCCAACTGAGCAGGTCATAGTTGGTAGTCACACCCCAGGCATATATGTTTTGAGAAAAGGCTTCTCTTTGCCTTCAGCAAGCCCTGTCCATTGTTTCTGTGCATCTAGGTGAACACACCTTTGAAATGCCTCTTTTCAGTCCCTTCCTTCTAAAGCCTGACCACTCTCAAGAGAGCATATCATCTTGTTAGCTGTCCTGTATTTGAACCCTACTTTGCTTCTCCCACCCTCATATAATCTTCCTTAAGTTCCCTCCTTAATTCCAAATGCATAAAAGAAACATTTATATTCTCTGGAGCAAATTAAGTCTTTCTTCCCAGCAATTGTCGTCAGTTTTGACTCAAATAAACTCATAAAAGTTCTGCAGGTTTGGATGTTTATGGCCACAAAGTTGTTGTCCAGATGTCACCAGAAAGTACTGATTTGGGAACGTCTAGCAACTAGCACAGAAACTGGGGTGCACTGAGAAGGTGCCCGTTGCTCTTTGCTCCTAAGGAAGACGAGAAGGCTTCTTGGGAGCCTTTGATGTATTATAGAAGTAACATGTGCTCGAGGAGCTCAGTTCCAGACATGGTGACCCAAGGCTCTGTGAGACCTGCAGTGGGACTCATCGGGGTTTCTGTAGGGATTTTATTGAATTTCTTAACATTCCTTTAAAACAGGTTTTCTGGCCCTATGTGCTTTTGAGTGTCAACCTATGAACCTGGAGGTCATGGTTCAATTCCCGGTCAGGGCACGTGCCCAGGTTGCAGGTTTGATCCCCGAAAAGAGGCGTACAGGAGGTAGCTGATCAATGTCTCTATCTCTCCCTCTCCCTTCCTCTCTCTCTAATATCAATAAAAACGAAACAGGCTTCCTGGGCTAGATGCGTGGCTTGCTGCCCATCCCTTGGATTCCTGGCTCCCAAGAGGCTGGAGGCAGGTCTGTTGTGGGACACAAAGTAACCTCCGCCAGGAGAGGAGGATGGATGCTGAGCAGAGTGCACCTCAACAGCAGCCACAGCTTGTGATGGTGAAGGAGCAGAATTTTCGTAGAGCCAGTGGGACCCTGAACCATACGATGGATTGAGAAAGACATGCCTCTCATTTTCACCTGGGGCATTTTCTTGGGATCAGCGCCAGAAGGCTCAGAGCTATCAGAAGGCTGGTGTTAACAATGCTATGACATTCAGAATGGAGGAACTGCTGAATTCTAGAAAGGACTCACCTGGGAAAATTTATCTAAAAATGAAGAGAAAGGGAGTGTTTCACTTCCCTGCCTGTGGGTTCTCCCTGGCATATTTCCAGCTGAGGAGGGGAGACATTTTAGTCTTTGGATTGTTTTGTGGAAAACTTTGTGTGACTCATCAAAGGCCAGAGGAAAATAATGAAACTGCTCAACTTTGCATCTCTTGGGCAGGCAAGGTCAGCCCCCACTAAGTAGAGCGGAAAAAGGTAAGGAGTGATGAATAAATATTAATCTTATGACAATAACTCTTGAGACCTATATATCCACATATTAGCTTAACGTTATATGTTTTGTTTTTAATTGGTAAGCTAGCATATTCAGTAGAGTGAGGGGCATAGAGAAGAAGATTGAGAGACGGTGGGCTCTGAGTTTGGGTCTGACACCCATGAGGCATGAGACTTTGGGCAAGTTACTTCTTGCTCATCAGTGTCACTTTCTTGTCTGCCAAATGGGATACAAAACAACAATAACAACAAAACTGAGTCTTGACATGAACATTGTATATTCCCAAATGCCTAGCACATCATGTGTGCTAAGTAATACAGCAACAATGAAGTATCCTATATAATAAAGAGGTAATATGCAACTAAACCCTCACACCCTCACAAAATGGCTGCCTATGAACAGGCTGGCAGGGGGGTTAGTGAGGGATGATCAAATGACTGAGCAAGCAGGCTGCATGGAGCGACCATGCTAGCAAAGGGGTTGTGAGGGGTGACCAGGCCGGCAGGGGTGAGAGTGAGAGTGGGGGGAGGGGGGAAGAGGGCGCCAACAGGGGAGGCAGTAGGGGCAATCAGGCTGCCAGGGGATGCAGTTAGGGGTGACCGGGACAGCAGAGAGGGATAGTTTGGGGGCAACCAGGCCAGCAAGGGGGGGGGGGCGCATAGTTGAGGGCAGTTAGACTGGCGGGGCACACTAAGGGGTTACTAGGCCGGCGGGGGGCGGGAGCAGTTGGGGGTGATCAGGCTGGCAAGGGGGCCAGTTAAGGGTGACCAGGTCGGCAGAGGGGGGCAATTGGGGGCAACCAGTTTAGCAGGGGCGGGGGGGGGGGGGAGCAGTTAGGAACAACCAGGCTGGCAGGGAGGGGGCAGTTGGGGGCAACCTGGCCATCCAGCTGGGGGCAGTTAGGGGCGATTAGGCAGGCAGGCTGGTGAGTGATTAGGAGCCAGCAGTCCAGGATTGTGAGAGGGATCCTGGATTGGAGAGGGTGCAGGCTGGGCTGAGGGGATCCCTGGCCCCATGCATAAATTTCGTGCACTGGGCCTCTAGTTATAATAATAACCAAGGGTACCAGAGTGTAAGCTCTTCTTTGTACTCCTGGCATCCTACAAACTGCTTGTCACATAGTAGGCAACCCCTAAACATTGGTTGCATTATACTGGGCTGGTTGGTTTGGTACCAGCTATATGGAAAGCATTGTTCTAGATACTCTTGGGATTATAGAAGAGGGTTAGATGCTGGGTCAAGTCCAACAGATGAGGAGTCGAGTCATGTATAGTTCTCAGTCTCCATTTTTTTTCACCTATAAGTCAGGGAAAATTGTATGGTATCTGTCAGGAACAGAGATAATAGGTCCACTCCTCCCAAACATTCTCCCCTTTTTTTCTTGCTGATAAATCCCTGGTTGTATTGAGGGCTGTGTGCCGCCTTTCTGTGCCCCAGGGAGACATCATATGGCAAATCCTCACTGTTACAGGCCAGTCATCCGCTGATCGCATTCTCTTTGCCTGTGACTGGTCTCAGTCCTGGCCAAGGAGATTGAGAGAATGTCACTAAAGGACGCCAAGAAAGCTTTATTTGCTTTAAAAAAGAGGAAAGAGACACATAGGAAAACAAACAAAAGAAAACAAAACCAAATCCTGTTTCTCTCCCTCTGGCCTTTCCTGAGGCCATGTGTGACACCTGGAACAGAGGCAGCTGCCTCCAGCCCAAGTGGAGAATCACCGACCCCGAGAATGGCAGGGCTGAGTGCTGGGAAGAACCCGGGGCCTTGGTGACATTATGGAGCCGCTGAACTCATCAGCCCTGGAGTTCTCATCACTAGATGGATTTTCCTTATTGTCTAGGCAGTGTTAAGTCAGAACTTACGCACCTTGTTGTCAGTGAAGGAAGTTACCCTGGATGATGCACTTGTCCATGGGCTGGTTCCCCTCACTTCCCTTCTGGAAATAGAACATCCATCAGCCAGGAATCTTGTAGCAAAGGCCTGACATTCCTGCCTCATGTGGGAACTTCGGGAGTTCCTTTCAAACTCTGGAATTCTCTACTCCCGTGCACTTGGGGGAGGAGCTCTGAGAAGCCAGGGGAAGGCCTTCCTTGGGGACACCAGAGGCAGGGAGGGCACTGGGATGAAAGTGCAGGTCCTGGAAGCAGAAGCCCCGAGGTTGCTCCTGGGAATCCCGTTGCCAGCCCTGTAGTTCTGGCTGAATCACATCAGCTCTTATAAGCTCAGTCTTCTTACCTGCAAAAGGGGCTGAAAGTAGCCCCTCTCTCAGGATCAGGATTACATGACAAAACCACCCAAGTGCCTGACAATGTGAACGCCTACTTAGAGACAATTGCTCTAAAGAAAACGCCGAAACGCAGAGCAGAAAAGGAAGGCTTTCATTTTCCTGGCTGGAAGAGGGAGATGAGATAGATTGTTGGGCTGGGAAACCCACAATGTGGTGGAAGTGGTGGTCCTCTCGGGGAAAGGTTTGATGCCCGCTTCCTCACCAGCTTTCTCAAACAACACAGCTCTTTCTAAGTGGTTACAAAGAGCAGTGTGGCTGAGAGCAGGGGGAAAAAGAGGAGCCCCTTGGACAGTGGCCTGCAGCCCTACAGCCGCGAACTATTAATAGCCTATAAACCCTGGCAGAGGAGCCCAGCCCCTCCCCCCCAGGGGACAGCAGAGGGGTCAGAGCTCTGCCTGACATGGGCTTGGAATACTGGTGACCCCTCCGGAGCTTTCTCAGTGAGGGAACATTTTTCTGCTGGGCTGGGGCTGGCTGAGCTTCCTCCTGCAGAGACCCCAGCCCGAGCTGCTAGCCAGGTTCACATCCTGCAAGCATTCGCTGACCTCTCTGGGTCCTCAAGCCACACACTAGCAGCCTCCACACTGATGATCTCATTGCATTCTCACAGCATTGAGCAAACTATTCTATAAAAGATATTTCTATTGATTTCAGAGAGGAAGGCAGAGGTAGAGAGGGAAAGAGAGAAACATCAATGATGAGAGAGAATCATCTATCCGCTGCCTCCTGCATGCCCCCTACTAGGAACTGAGCCCACAACCTGGGCATGTGCCCTGACTGGGAATCGAACCATGACCTCTGGTTCAGAGGTTGACCCTCAACCAGTGAGCCACACTGGCTGGGCAAGCAAATCTGTTAGAGAAACAGAACCCATCTGAGAGTGTGGCCATGACCTCTTCAAGGAAAGGAACTTTGGTTCTAGAACCCAACCCACCTGTCTCCAAGTCAGTGCTTCCCTGTGAAGTCTGGGAGACATCCGGGCCTTCAGGAAGACCCTCCAGGTCCTTTGTCATGCTGGCAAGAAGAGGAAGGACCCTAGGGTAGAGTGAGTGACCGAGGGCAGAACAAAGCCAGCCTAGCACCTGGACTCGGGATCAGAGGAGCTGACATGCCCATTGGTGCTGCTCTGGCGACCAGGGGGCTGTGGCTTATGGAGCAGACAGCGCCCTCCTTTCCCTCCCTTTGCATAGTCATGCCTGGTTTCATTGCTTCCAAGCTTAGAAAACCTAGAGACCCTTCTTGGTTCCTGAATGCAAGACAAAGACAGTCCCTCAGCTGCAATGGGACCATTCCAGGTCCTTCACAACCCAGCTCCCATCCCTCTTTCAAAACACACCCTCCTCTGAACCATCTGTCCCCACACAGACTTAGTTACAGATCCTGGGATAGCCATTTAAAGAGCAAGGATCATGCTTTCTCACCCCCTGCCCCTTTCCCCCTGGCCTGATCTAGCATCTGGAGCAGGAACTGCAGGAAGAGCTATCACCCTTGTCAACTGGGTCCAGACAGCCGGGATAAGGGGGATGAGGCCCGGGACATGGGACCAGGAGTCCACAGACAGAGGAAGGCCCGGACTGCCCCGTGGCACTACAAGGGCTGAGTTCTGGAGATCCTGGGTTGGGAACGCTCAACCTTCTCTCCTTTCAGATGTGCTGGGCCTGGATTCAGACTGCTTTCCAGACACAACTCTGCTGTATCTCCAGGCTGGCTCTACGAGCTTCCCCAGACTTTTCTGCCCCTGGTACTGTCCTCAGTCCTTCTTTCTGGTGATTTTGTTCTCAGAGAATCTGAGTCCATTTCCCACAGGTTAGGCCCAAATATTAGACTGTGAGTGTCAGTCTTCCTAGGTCTGAATGGCAGAGCATCCCATGAAAGAAGGACAGCGTGAACATTTACCAAGTGCAGGCATGGGGCCAGGGGGTGCTGGAAGTTGGTGCCCAGGAAGCATACCCAGAAAGGAACCAAACTACCTTAAGATGTCATTTTTTTTGGAAAAGTATTTTTTATTTATTTCAGAGAGAAAGAAATATGTAACCATGGATTGGCTGCCTCCTACACGCCCCACACTGGGAATCCAGGCTGCAATCCAGGCATGTGCCCTGGCTGAGATTGAACCATGACCTCCTGGTTCATAGGTTGATGCTCAACCACTAAGCCACCTTGGCTCCCTAAGATCTCATCCCCCCCCAACAAAGAATAGGAAGTCAGGAGCTTCTTTGATTGGCCTGTTCTGTAAAGTAATATCATTAAGCTTATAGACAGAGTCTACCTAGGTTGACTATCCTCTTTACCAACACCTACAGCTCTTGAAATCTACAGAAGGATTTGCTGGGAATGACTGAATTCGCACTCGGCAGTGAGAACAGAACCCAATTTGTATTGCATCCCAGTGCACAACGGGTGGGACGGGGTCTGAGAGTTGCAGGGGGAGTTATCTCTGCAGGACTCAGGCAAGACTCCCCTCCTTCCAGCTTCAGTCATTTCCCAGCCTTGGGTTTCACTGCCGAGTTTTCACCGGGATGGCCCTCCTGCAGACCTGCAGGGAGGTGTCAGCATCCACAGTGACTGAGTGTGCTCCGAGCACCATCTTGGTGCGTTAGCTTCCACAGAGGTCACTTCTGTCCAATCAGCCTGCCCTGCTAGCACCACTCCAAATCCCCATGACCTCAGCACTCAGAGTTTGGGGGCCTGGATGTCTGTGTTCTAAATCCCAATCAGCACATGCTCCCTCCTGCTGGGGCACGGGTAAGTTAGCCCTTCCTCTGCCTTTGATGGGAAGTCATTTCTTTCCTGCGACTCCTCTGCGGTGCAGCCACAGCCGTAGCCATGGGGAGAGCTGTGAGCAGGCGGCACTGCTATTTGCACCTTTGGGTGCATGCGCTTATCCATGTTCTGAGTCCACATGGAAACCCTTTGAAGTGGGGGCTATCTTCCTCCTTCAGCAGGTGAGAGAAGGAGACTCAATGAGAAGCTGCAGGTGGTGGCAGAGCTGGCACTGAACCAAGAACAGCTGGCTCTGCATCCAATTCGCGTCCCTCAGCAGCTCGTGAGAAGCCAA